TGTAATTACATAATATTATAATAATACGTAATGTTGATGACGGTAAAATAGTGAGAAATGTAAAAATGTCTTCTTCATGGATTATTTTGCTTCAATCACTGCATGTATCTCTGTTTTAAAATACTTTTTAGGTCAAAACCTAATCACAAAAAAGTGTATTCATAACCAAAACAATGTATCTATAACCATTTTATGTGAAACGTTTTTGTGAGGGAGCTTTTTGAGGTGGACGTCTGATTCCTATCACCACCACTGTGAACAATTCTGAATCGGCAAGTTTCTCTAGAACGGTGCATTTCACACCAAACCAGATTTTGTTTACATCTCAGTGATTTAATTATGCAGAAATTTGAGAAAATCAAAAGAATTTAACTACTATATATGTCATTCGATGGGCACTTCGGACAGTTTTGAAGAAACAGTCAAAATACAAAAAACAAATACGAAAAGTTACTAAAACAACATATAGGTGACATTTTAGAATTTTCAGTAATTGTTAGCCTTTGACTTTGATGTATATTGTGCTTTTTTTCTCAGTTATACTTCATGTTTTATGCTTTATTTTTATTATTTTTACTTGTTTTTTTTGCATTTTAATATACATGGTCCTTTAGACTGCAGATGACAATCACAATAATACCTGAATTTTCTGGTGTTTTTCTTCGGTTAACATTTATAATATTACAATACTGTGTAATGTTCCTTTTGGCATACTTTCAGGAAGCATTGTTTTTTTAACTTTGTTAATAAAAACTTAAATTTTAGCTGGTATTGTGATGTACTTGGAAAATTTCATCATACTGAATTTTAGCACTACTTGCCAGCATTGTCCAAACCCCAGCTTCTCAGGTCAGTGTGAAAATCACTCACATTTAGATGGCCCCTCCCACCCGTCCCCAGAGAAATATCCAGTTTCAGCTTGTTTATCCCATCGACATGGCGACAAGCTGTCTCCCTCAGCGACATTTCCTGGTGCTCCCTGCAAATATGTCTTCTGTAGCCACCACTGTTGTTTTCCCAGTTAGAACTGTGCTGAAACATGAAAGCGATCAATCTACAAGAAAAACACAACTACAGTGAACTTCTGCTTTGTTTAGATTTTAAGTTAAGTAGCTGGACTGCCACTTAGAGCTCAGATTTTTCCATAACGTTGTGGACGGCATTCCCCTGCTGGCTCTGAAATGGCATTCTCAATTCGGTATTCTGAACATAAACAAAAAGGGTCCATCTGGCTATTTATAAAAGTAATTACGTACAAGAGCATGATTGTAATCTTTGAAAAGGTCAGGCTCAGACACGGTCATGTTAAGACAAGGCAAGCAGGAAAACGACAAAAAGGAAAAACTACAGCAAACATCCCATCAGCCAATCTAAAGCAGTACAAACTTTATCACTATTAATCCTGAATGTACTGTAGCTGCAAACTGTGATTCATGGGGTCCAAGCCTGTTTCCCAAGTCACCCCCTCTACTTACTGCTCCACACTGTGAAAAATTATTCAGGTCAACTTAAAATCAACTTAATATTTTTTTGTAACTCAGTGAAATAAATTTTAAGTTGACTTATTTTTCAAAATGTATGGTCCAATTATCTGAAACAACTAGTCATTGCGGGCTGTTCATCAAGACTGGCAAGTATATTAAATCTGATGAAAACCAAAGCATTCTTGTCTGTGTATTGTTGCGAAAATACCCCTAAATAAAAATCTCTAAAGACCTGGTGAAGCTGCTCAGCCTAAGGAGTTGCTCAACATCACTGAGTATGATATACCGCAGTTGTGGTGGACAGAAAGAGCAGGTGTCCACATGAAGCCTCAGTGAAAAGGGCAAAGGTGAGACACAGCTCTATATGTATAATATTTAACCGTAACTGGTGGAGTGCAGGGCACATCAGGGTACGAACACACTAATGTTCTGTGGCATGTGTACGCACATGTGGGGGAGTATATATTTGAGTTAGTAAGTTAAAGGAGCAAAAGGGGAGGGGAAAAAGGAATTGCATCACAAGATGCTGTTTTCAAGGATAATATATCTGGGGTGATCTGGCTATAGATACTGAAAGCTGTCAAGTTATCGATCACAACATCTTAACCAGTTTTCTGTATGGATCTGATGGACTTCTATACTGATTTCTCTTTGTTTGTCCTCTTGAAAGTGTTGTTTTTTTTTTTTCTTTCTTTCTTGCTTTTATGTCTCTCCTCATACGCCTTCTCTCAGTGCCAACTGCCAACGCTGATTCAACACACTCAATGGGGCAAAAAACTGAGGAAGACCAACGAGAACCAATGGCGCCGTGTACACCGCACTAACAAGGAGTGACAGTCAACCACAGACGCTCACCAATGGCCTGGCAGCATCCGATGGCTGGCAGGTCGCATGGTGCCTTCCAGGCCTAACGCTCTATACATTTCACAACTCTTCCTTCTGTTTCCTGTGATAAAGCTGTTCCACAATCCTGTCTGTCAGTCCTGCCTTCATCCATCAAAATGGGGTCAGGTCTTCTAGCTGAAAGCAGAAGCCACCCAGGACTCCAGCACATGTTCTCAGAGTTCTCTCCTCTCCTTGAGTCATACAGTCTACTCTCATACTAAAATCATGTATTGAAGGAGTGCTCCAAACTAGAAAGTGCTTTTTGGATATTTCTATTGCTTTTATACATTGTTTTTACAAACCTAATTCAAGAAGGTTCAGATTGCAAGGTCAGAACTAACTGCTGGATGATGTGCATTCATGGTCACATGAGCTGTCAGCGTCATGTATTGAAATGCTAAGTGTAATGACTCTAGACGAATTCTAAAAGAAAGCAGCAATTATACCAACCAAAAGAATGATTGAGGGGAAGTGTGTGGGTGTGTCTGACGATTAGCCAGATTAGCCAGAGAAATGAGTGTATGTATCTGATAAGAGAGGCCAAACCACTCTGTCTGGACAGGCACCGCTGTATTACAGGAATATGTGCATATAGTTAAGAATGTGCAGGGCTTTAGATAGGGTAAGTTTGTAAGTGTGTGTGTGTGTGTTTAGGTAGGTGAATATCCACTCATCCTATCCCTACAGGGTCTAAGAACAAGTCTCTTCCTGTCTCCTTATCCATATCGACCCAAGGGATAGTGGCTTATGTATGTGGGTGTGTGAGTGTGTGGAGGGGGGTGTGTGACTTAGAGAGAGTGTGTGTGAGCCAACAACACAGTACCACATCTCCCTAAGCCATGTTTCTGTAAACACATGATGTTAACTTCTCATCCCAAACTGACATTTGAAGTTAAACTGAACATTTACACTTTACATTAGCAGCAATGCAGATGTTTCATTAGGTTTCAGAGACTTTATAAAGGGGTGGGCAGTTCATTTTTTTCTCCCTGATTTGGTGATCACCAATTCCACACGCTAACTAAGTCTCCCTCTGTTAATATGTTAATATGACTTTCAGTTTTAGATTTGTAGGTCTCTCCACATTCAAAGGCCCAATCCCATTTCTTATTTTTACCCCTACGCTTTGTTTTCTAGTGTCCCCTTGCCTTTACCTTTCAGGCGTCAGTACTGCTGGACTACTTACGGTGGAACAGGAAATTTAGCTAGTTAGCTACCGAGACGTTAGCACAGTACTAGCGATTTTTTATGCTTGTTATGAAGAAAAGGACCATAATACATTGAAACGATATTAAAGTAAGATTAAACAAAGGTTGTCGTAATTTGTTAACGAAGAAAATACCCACATTTGTGGGTTTCTTAGGTCACTTGCGCAGCCATCTTGCCAGTTTTTCTTTTTTTCTCATAACACTCCGCTTGGAGTGTACCTCTGAAAAACCTACCCCTCTATCTCAACAAAAATCGGGACATCCTAACCCTAGATGTGAACGTGCAAAATGGAGAGCCAAGGGCTAACATTACTCACACATTAATATTTGGTAGAGTTTGCTATTCAGTAAATGTTGATAACCTTCAAGTGGGATAAATTGTTTTGCCAGCCACCATTAGTGAAGTAATTAACAGTGGCATGGCATTTTCAGTGTAGCACTCTCCTTTTGTGTCTTTTTCTCTCTCTCTCTTTTTCTCTCTCATTAAGTGTTAGCTAGCTGTCGGGTAGTGTTAGCAGTAGCAGGTAAGAGTGTGTTCAGCTCTACTCCTGTCTGTGCGTGCGTGTGTGTGTGTGTGTTATCTGGGTGCTAACTCATAGCCTGCAGTGGCCTCTACCCTGTATTACATTCAAACCTTTGATGCTCCAAAACACAGACAGGAATCTGCACAGTACCCCAGCCAAACAACGACCTTCCATCTACACACACACACACATACATACACACACACACACACACACAGGCAAACACAAACTGTATTCTTCAGTTTTAGGGTGTTTCACATTTCTTTTTAAATGAACTAAATTCAGTGCTGTTAAAATGAAGCTGAAAAAGAACCAGTTGCAAATGACCTCAGTGTTTTTGTGTTCACAGTGTAAGCGAATTTTAAAGTGACTCAGTCGTCTTTCAAACGCACGACTTTCAATTTTCACACCACAACTTCTTCAGATGCGTTGTGTACATGTATGCGTGCCTAACACTACCCTGCGTTGTGTACATGTATGCGTGCCTAACACTACCTTGCCTAACTCAAGGTAAAAACACTGTAAAAAACACAGGCTCTCATGACTTATTATTTATTTACATATATATTATTACATTCCTTGTTTGGTTGTATCTACTTAGTGCCGGAAGACTATGGCTGCGTATGTACAGTAAGCTCAGTGGTTCTTAAATCGTAAAGCAAAACTTTGTTTTCCCAATGCACAAATCGAGTGAAATGCAAAACGAGCCACAAACGAACTGTACTGAACCGTATTGGTTCATTTTTGGGACTGTGTGTAGGGATCACAGGAGTTTTAGGAGTTTCCAAGAGACACTGAACCTGTTTACACTTGTACTTAACTGTTTTTAACTGTGTTTGAATGTATACATTTGTTTATGTTTTTTGAGAATGGTGTATGTGTGTTTTTTTATTACTCACACATATTTCAGCAGAACTGCCTGGACTTCCAGCCCTGAGCATCTGCTGGTGGGAGCCAACGGATCTGAGGTAGGGTGAATACATGAAACAGTAAGTTCAAGTACACAGTGTATTATTATGTGTTATTACATGTTCAATAAATAAATCGTTTTAAATTAACTGTCCTATCCATGCTCTGTTTTTTTGTAGCAAGCCATTCGACCTACTGAGATTTTGTTTTTAAGATGTAAATGTGTTTAAAATATAGTTTCCAGTATAAAATCTCTTTTAGAAGTCATCATTCAATCACAAGGCCTCACATTACTGTTTACTAGTAATGTTTATAAGCAGCATTGCTCTAGACAAGGAAAGTTAGCTGGAAAAAATAACTTGAAATAGCAATTTCAGAGGAAGTATGGACTAGCACACTGCAAAGAGTAAACTGCAGTATCCCCTGTGCAAGTCTGGGTTACAATTTAAGGTCATTTACCACTTACTTTTAAATTAAAGCTTTATTTACTTCAACAGTTGCTACAAAAGAACAAGTTTTTTGGTAACCTGCAAACTCAATCACAAAAAAAGTATTTAACAAAGACAGAGAGAACGAAAACTTTATGCTGGTAACAACCTGGATGGTTCTTTTTTCTCCTTGGCCCGGTGAACACAACATCTATTATTTCCATAAATAATCTAAAGGTGGACCCTTTAGACCACAATACATATTTACACTGTGTATCAGTCCATTTCAGTTGAGTTCAAGTCCAGAGAAGTCGGCAGTGTTTCTGAACGTTGTTGACATATGGCTTCCACTGTACATATCACAGTGTTAACTTCCATTGTGGATGCAGCAACGAATGATACTTATGAAAGCATCTTAGTACGAAGTCATGAAGTATATCTTATTTGTAACACGACCCTAAACTAATCCTGCAATGTTGAAGCTGTACTTTAGCAAGGCTAGATCTCACAGTGAGTTATTTATTTGCGTCTAAACAGTGCTATTTAGAGCCACCAAGATGGAGATTAAAATAATATAAGAGTGAACTCTATGAACTCAGTCATCAAAAACACTTATGATGAAAAAAATGTATTTTTCTGGTACAAAAACATTCTTCAGAGTAAATCTGGAGAAACATCTGTTTGATTGCTGTCATAACTTGCAGACAACGTTGCTGTGGTAATATGAGAAGGTGATCAAAAGCATGTTTTATTTGAACCTGCTTAACCACATAAAAAAATCCATTGTTGCATTCAGAATCGCTCCCTATTGCAGAAATAGTGCAATAGTGGTAGTGTTGTTTGAAATCTCAGCTGTAGACTTAACTCACTAAATTTAGCTCACTGTCAAAGAAGCGTAATGCATTGCAAATTTTAGTTTACAGACAACGTACACCAGCCTATGTTATACCATACCACAACATATACCATAATGCAATGGTGGCTCAATAAAGAAACAGAAGTATAAGAGGTAAGAGTTTAGAGGGAGAAGCATCTCCTTAGAGTGGGAACACCCAGACAGCAGAGAGGGCAACACAACAATTTCATATACAATTTATGTTTCATATAAGTCAATACTATTTTCACTAACAAAAATAATGACGCTTGCATTAGTAAATCAGCCATGCATACCCATCATAAATTGGCTTCACAGAAGGATTTTAACCCTCAGAGGCACTATTTGGCTAAATTTATATCAGCTGGTCAGCTAGTTAATGTGTTTTGCTTGCTCACCCTGAAGTTTTACCTCAATTTACTGATGTTAGATTCTCCTAGATGTCTGTTCTCTGATAGTAAAAACAGATGCATCCGAGAAGCTTAACAGCTACGTGATCCTGTATTGCTATCTGTGGTGGTTTGTCCTCGTTCATTTTAGCTGCTCACCATGAACACCTCATTTTTACTGCTCTAATTTTGTACTTGCTGCAAATATTTCAGATGGAATAATCTTAGCAACGAAGGTAAACATAAACACAACTCATGTATTTACATAATTGAGAGAAATTGTGAGCACAAACAGCTTTCCACCAAAATGTCTATCTACACGGCTGCATGCTTATATTTTTAGTTAGCAGCAGTTTCCAAAGGAAAAATGTCTTTCTTCAGGACACATTTTCTTAGAAGAAATAAAGCACCTTGGATGCCCAATTTCTGAATTATTGTGCATAGTAAAACAGACTTGGGGAACATTTTTACTATAAGAAACATGTTAACTACGATAAACCGCGGTCTAGTACACTAGTGAATTATAAGCTGGAGTGAGAACTGTTGGAAGGTCAATACAAAATACTTTGTTGCCAACTTTTGTACATGACTAAGTGTTAATCATTTATTTTCAACTTGGTGTTTAAACATTAAACATTAATTACACGTAGTATTTTGTAAAATCTGTACCAGTTTATAGGGCACATGTTTGATTTGTTTGTCCGACAGACGCATCACACAATTGTCCACTGCTTTTTTACGAAGCAGTGCTTCCGAATGCAGTGTCCGAAATGTCTTTTAGGCTATGTTCACACAGCAGGTAAACATGGCCAAAATCTGATTTTCACACCAAATCCAATTTTCTTGTTTGACTGTTCACAATATCTTTTAAATGTGACCTGTATGCGACATCAGTCTGAACAAATCAGCTTCTAAACCGACCCATATGCGCAAAAGAGCAATGCCTCACGTTGCTTGATGTGGCGCGTTTATCGAGAGGTAAATAATCACAACTATGAACGAATCCCAGTCGCTCCCAGAGGGTTGTTTCATCTTCACCAGCACCACAGGAGCCATCATGAAGCTTCACTGACTGACAGCTGGGCTCATCAACCACAATGTGTTCGAGCCATAAAAAGGGCATGTTATTCAACCACGGTCAATTCTTTGGTTCGTGTCCTCAGATTCTTTAAACTTTGCTTTCAGACTTTTCCTTGACGCTGCAGCCTTGTTCTCCTGCAGCCGCGTTCGGCCATTTCTTTCGAAATCTCTTCGAACACGAAGGGGTTTGGATAAGTCTCTTCTCATTTTTTGGTACAGAAACATCAGACTAAATGTTTGAGGTCTCATGAAATTATGACAAATGTCAAGTTGGACTGACGTAAAAATCGCATGAATTCTGATCTCGCTGTTGCATTGCTGACTGAGTTGCATTGCTGCAGATCGGATGTGTATCTGATTTCAGTTTATTTGAAAGCATCTTGATTCAGAATTGAAAATGTCAGATTCAGTGTGTTTTTTGCTGTTCACACTGACACACAGATAACACATCAGTGTCACATACAGAGAAAAAGATCGGATTTGGGCCACTTTTACCTGCTGGTGTAAACAACTTGAGATGCTTTGATATGTGGTACTGAAATTCGACCCGTATCAGATATGCAAAGCGACTCAGTCTGAACAGCCAGATTGGAATTCATGCAACATTTACGTCAATCCAACTTGACATTCATCATAATTTCGTGCTGCTGAGAAACATTTAGGCTGATGTTTCTGTACCAAAAAATTAGAAGAGACTTATCTAAAACACCTCTGTGCTTAAAGAGATTTGATAATAAATGGCCGAACGCGGCCGTGAGAGAGCGAGGCTGCAGATTCAAAGAACAGTTAAAAGTCTGAAAGCAAAGTTTAAAGAATCCAAGGACATGAACCAAAGAAGTGACTATGCCCTCTTTACGGTGAGCTCGTACACATTGTGGGTGATGAGCCCAGCTGTCAGTCAGTGAAGCTTCATGATGGCTCCTGTGATGCTGGCGAAGATGAAACTGAACCCTCTGGGAGCGACAGGCGTTCGTTAGCAGTCATGATTGTTTACCACTGGATGAGCCACATGAAGCAACGTGAAGCACTGTTCTTTTGTGCAAGTGGGTCAGTTTAGGAGCTGATCTGTTCAGACTAATGTTGCATATAGGACACATTTAAAAGATACTGTGAACAGCCAAACAAAAAAAAATCGGATTTGGTGAGAAAATCAGATTTGGGCCATTTTTACCTGCTGTGTGAACGTAGCCTTAGTCACTCTATGCTCGTTCACTAATCAGTTCACTTTGTAGCAAATGATACAGAGTGAATAGTAAATGAGTTAATGATGAACCATTCTAAACGCAGCTCACGTTACACTTCGCTCTCCATATGTAGCACCTTTTATACATAAAAATGCAGCTAGTTCACAGTATGTTTAAACCAAACAAGTAAAAGCAGGTGATATAAGTCTAGGAGGCAAAGGGAGAATGATTTGATTACAAACTGATATTTTATACAGTCCAGAGTAAAGATTAAAGAGTCTAATTTAATTCCCCAATGTCTGTGTGTGTATATGAGGTAGAAGAGCTTCAAAAGCACTTTCAGCTAATCACCATCTACAACTCGTGCTATCTGTTTTATCATCTCTCAAATCGAAATCGACCCCCTCCTATTTCTTTCCTCATTTTGTGATGGAAAGATCTCACATTACTCTCTCTCTCTCTCTCCTCTCTCTTTCCACCTCTCTGTGTATCTCTCAGCTCACAGAAATATCTCGCTTTCCACCCCGCCCCTTCTCTCTCAGAGTGCAGATCAATATGAACTCACTTCAGAGCATGTCAACTGAGTAAGAGGACTGGTGTAATATCTGGGTCATGGCTGTGTGGGGTTTTAATGGCGGGAAGTGGCGTGAACACTAAAAACCCCTCACACACATATATCACACACATACTTGCCCAAAACTTGTGTCAGGGCATCTACTAGGAGAAACGTGACATCACAGATGCTCAGGCTCAGGCGTTTACAAGGCAACCATGGATGTGACGTAATGAGCCCCCCAAAAACTGTCAGTCTTCCGCAAAGAGAGCAGCCAGCTCATATCAAGACTAGTCCGATTGAAAATGAATTTGCCAACATGTTAATGTTTGCTTGATTACACTGATTAATCCTAACAGTGTGACTTTTCTCACACATTCAAAATAAATATCATTTGAAATTTCCAATCTAAGTAGTTTTTTTAGCGTACTCTACAGTTTCTCATTAGGTTGAATGAATATCTCACTCTAAATGTAGGTACTGTGATTCAAACTGAGTGTATTCCAGAGTAGGGAAAATATTAAAGCTGTCTAATCTAGGTCATCTAGTCACCTAACTAGTAATGCATGGTGTCCCCAGTGCGTTGCTCATGAACATAAGCCTAAGGACTGAATAGCTGAATGGCTGTGATTTTGGAGTGGTGATTGAAGGTTTCGTCATAGGTAAGGTACATCAGGGTGGTTTGAGGGGTGTATTATCCTGAGCAGGTGAGATCAACATGTATGCAGGTGAGTTCCAGGTGGGGTTTAGATTATAAGTGCATCAGGAGTGCAACATGTGCAAATGTAAAACAGTGAGGGGGGTTTTGAGGGTTTTGGGTGAATGGGATAACAACGGGTACCGGGTGTGAATTGCCTGTGCAGGTATGCAACAGGGGAGAGGTGAGGGTGGTTTACCTGGAGGTGCCCAGCGTGGGTTACCTGTGTAGGTATAGATGTGCAATAATGTGTCTAAAGTCCCAGTCACACTAGCTTCTCGACAGGAAAACAAGTTCTAGCGAATGCACGTTAATTTCAATGGAAACCGTAATCAAGAATTTCGCATTGCAGACTTACAACAGTAAACAAATTTCACACAAGAAACTTTGTTGGGTTCAACTTTAGTTAAATCTTCAATGAAATTCACAGAGTCAACCAATAGCATGACTAATCCCTGAAGGTAGAGATCCAAAATGGAGGAAGTGCTGATCTAAGCAATGTCTTTTACAAAACCCCTCCAAACTGAAATATAATTTTTGAAGCAGCATGTTGCACAGTCAGTCAGGAACTGGATTAGATGGTATAATGATTATTACTTTGTTAATGGTTTACAGTGTATAGTTGGGCAGTTAGCTTGCTAGCAACCAATTTGGACACGTTAACAAACAAAATATAAATTCTCTTAAACAAACTACAAATGCTAAGTCGCTGCTAAACTGCTAAGAACATTAAAATAGAGAATTTTACTTTAAAAATTTAAGGAAATTCTATTTTAATATTAAACCTCGAATTTCGCCTTGATTATGTCTATTGACAAGGAGAACTGCAAATTTGTAGTGTGACTGTGGCTTAAGGGAATGAAGGAGGAAAAAGAGGCAAAGGAACCTGCAAAGGTGTGAAAGGAGGTGAGACAGGTGCATGTGGGTGCTCAGGTGAGTGTTACCTGAGCGTGCAGAGAGGAAGGGTAGGTGAAAGCAGGCGGGAGAGCGGGCGACAGCTCTGCGGGGTACAGCGGGTACGATGCCCACACGTCAGGGCTGCTGGGATACAGACCAGGCACTGTCAGCTCATCTGGAAACATAACACAACAGGAACAACACTGAGACACACACACCAGAACACACATCCACAAACACTGCACCATGTCGCTGTGCTACCAAAGATAGAGCTTCATGCTCGCTTAGATCTGCCACATCTCCTACTCCTGATCAGACACATTCCTGTAAACTTGCCATTTAAACTTTTGTGTTAATTCTGAATTATAGAAATATTTGAATATTTTTAAACAGTTTTTGTGTTTTAATAACTAATATGCAGGGGTAGGTGGTAAGCTTAAACATATACTCCAGTACAAGTGCTGTTATCTGCAGTGACATTATGACTACATTAAACGTAAAACTACCCTCCCCCAAAACCTTTTGACCAGAATTTCAAATATAGCAGTTCAAAAACTACTTAAGTACTGAGATACTTACAGAACAGCAGTGGAACATCTTTTATTTCATGCAGCACTGATTAGCATAGGAACTGTTTATTAAGTCGTATTCTTCTATTTTTGGATTTTTTTTTTTTTATTTAAAAAATGCTTTAACTCTACTTTGAAAGATGTACGTGGAACTAGTCATTACCCACCTCTGCTGAGGCATCTCGTATAGCCTGTGCATACACACATACATGCAAACATGCAGACATACACAAAGAAGGAGAGGATCAGTAAGAATGTTTCCATCTTCTTCTATTAATGGAACAGAAGCAGGAATTGATAATGGATCTTCAGTAGATTTTTTAGCTTCATTATACCGCTGACCATCTATGATTATGCTTCAGGTATAAACTAGGGGTCTGCACGAGTGTTCTCGGTTCCTCTATGCGAACACTGACTTAAAACTTACAGACCAACAATTCAGTGAAACACTGTTATGTTTTAATAGTGCTGTAAAGTGTGACAGTTTTGCTCATATTTGGAATTAGAGTATATTTTACTACAAAATAAATGCCTTAACGTTTATCTGTTTATCTTCTTTATGGTTACAGATATTGGAATATCTAAAATAGTCAGAATGCAGATCCCTAGCGTTCACCAGTCTAGGACTGTAAGCATTTTAAATAGTTTAACCAGACAGCTGTTTCACGAGTACAAATCATGATGCACACACACACAAAGATTGTAGTGAATTATGCTATCATCAAGAATCCTCTAACTTGCAAAGCAATCTTATCTGAAATAGTTATCAGGGACAAAATACACAGAAGAAAAGAATTCCCTTTAATTACCACCATTTTGATCTCTGAAATTGGTCACTTATTACGTCAAGCTCTTCAGTAATAGTTTCCTTCCAAATTTTTGCACAGGGACCACGAGGGGCGTTTGTCTTCACCGAAGCAGATTCAAGATAAGATGAGTTTGGTCACTTAACAGGAATGCATATCCAGGACAATCCACGGCTGTAATGTGTGCATCTGCATCTAACAGCGCCAAACTAACGTTCTGTGCTTAGGGTTTGGTGAAGCGTCTCAGGGTAAAAAAGTGCAGGCCTTCGCATTCCACAGCATTACATGTGCCATGCTCAGTGAAGAGAAAATTGCTGTACATATTCAACTATTGCACAACATTTAAACACCAACCAACTCTGGAGAATGGTGTAATACACACTCATGAAAAAAAGACACTATTATTCGAATAAAACGTTTTTTCTAGGCAGTGTTGCTGGCGAGAAAGATTTCTTTCTTAATCTTCTTACACTCTTAATAATAAAACAGCCAAAAAGATGTAGAAGCATCATCTTTGTTGCCCTAAAGAACCTTTCAACTGAGTGGTTAAAACTGATATTTCTAAAGAACCATCCACTGAAAAGTTCTTTAAGAAACCAAATGGTATTGCTCCTAAACAAGGGTAACAAGGGAAAAACCTGCTAACCTTATGATACGAAAACATGGTTCAATCAAGGCCAAAGCACAATAATACAAACAAACAAGGGAAAAAAAAGTAAACAAACTTACTGGAAAAAAGACCCCATGGAAAGTTTTACAAAGAGAAGGCTGAATTTTTTATCAGTGCAGTCAGCATTAAACCCAGGGTGATTCACAGAGACACACGCAGAGACTGGGATTTACACACATACATATTCTCCTGTGAAGTCTTACAGGAATTACTGTATTAGATGAATCATCCCTAAATGTCTCAAAGAAGTCCATAAATTTCAATCTGTCCATGACTGATCCAGTCGCAGACCAAAGTATTATAACTTATCATAAGGACAACCCAGATGTACACTTAAAAAATAATGCATGCTTTGTTTTGTCTAACCTAACTGATGGATGAAGGCCAAAGAAATATTTATACCATTCTATTTTTTCATTAGTATCGAGGTAAAACTACAGAAAATGCTTTTACTTTGCATTCTTTTCCTATTTAATACAATATTATTCATTACAAATTATATTATGAGCATAAACATCTGAGTGTAAAGTAGTGAAGTAATGAAGTAAAATGACATTAATGTAATTGCATATTTGTAGGGTTAATCAGCTATCATTTATTGTACTAAGAAAATACTATTCCAAGAAACTAAAACTAAAGTTAATCCACCCAACCTGCATAACAGAGAGTCTTTCAACTTTTCTCACAATCAGTACTCACATCTCTGACAAAATCAGCCGACCGGTAACACTAATAGGTTGATTCTGGGGCCGTGCGCACTGCAGTATACACCCACATAGGGGATGTTATCAGTGATGGTGTATCGGGGAGGGCTTGTTTTTGTGTGTACGTGTTACTCACAGGGGTCCCTGCTGATGAAGGGTGGTCCAGGGCTCTGTTGAGAAGGAGGGGGGTTGGGCGTCCCTACCAGTTTGTTCTTGGCCATTTTTGTGTTGGCCTTGGCGAACTCCAACCGCAAAGTCTGTGGGATTTCCGGGTCGAAGCGAACTCCCTACAGGAGGCCAAAAAGAAATGAGTAAGTTCCAGCTTTAACATGTATCACCCTTGAGAAACACAACATAGAGATATGGTCCAAGAAAGAAAAACTGTTCACATTACTTGTGGAATTAAGTCATTCAAGAAAAATTCCACTGATTTTTTTTTTACTTTTTTACAATTTCTGTAAAATTCAATGGTTGAAATGTAAACATAGTCATTTAGACTGGTATGATGTAAAATGGCTCGTTGTAGATAAACAATGACGAATCTGAAACCTTCTCAAAACTATTGTAAACCAATGTCTCAGGACCATTTCATGTAATAACATTCCATGAGGGAGCTTTTACAGTCATTAAACTCTTCAGATGTGAACAATTCTGATTCTGTTTCTCTAGAATGGAGCATTTCACATCAAACCACTCTGACTATGACTTTGTTTACCTCTTAACCATTTGAATTACACAGAAAAAAAGTAGAAGCCAGTAAGCAGTAAATTTGACTGCTGGTCAAATGGTCAATCACATGGGGTGCCATAACTTCAGAAGAAGTGGCCTCTAGTTAGCAACGAGGCACAGAATTCTGATCAGATGACATATGATGGTATGTGCTAAAACTACAATCCCAAGAAATGTTCCTTTCAGCATAACACAGTGGGTGTTCCATAACATGCATCACCCTTCACACAACTCTCTTGAGCAATATGACAGAAACCTGAGATACAGTCCATGCTCTTTTCATCAGTAGTTCCTAGAAGGCAAAACCGTTCCTTCAGTTATTTCAGGAATCAAGTCACTCAACAAACAAAGTACTGGCCAAGAATTTGTAGTTTTTGCATGTAAGCTTTACAGTAGCACATTAGCACCTTACCGCTGGTCAATAAGTGTCTCAACTTCAGAAAAGGAAATAGCTTCTAGTTAGCAACTGCGCAGCAAATTCTGATCTGACATTTGACGGTATGTGTTAAAACTACAGTCCAGAGATGCTTACACACTGACAGCATCTCCAGGCATAGAGTTGCAGCACTGAAGAGGGCAGCAGGTTTGAATCATTTGTCACTTCCTCTTGCTACATGTTTCAGAAGCCTCTGCAATACATGAATTCACTGAGCAAACCTAGCGCCAACAAAACTGTGCCTGAAAATTCTCAGCTAGCTGCGACCTACACTAAGTTTTTTTTTCCCCTCTCAAAACACAAGCTGTACACGGTTGTTTCACTGTCACAATCACAGATAAAAGCTCAATAAATTGTTCAGCAGCATCAGAATTAAGCAGATTCTGAGACAGTTGTTTCTTGGTTTAGAACCTTGAAATGTCACATCTTTCAATTACTGCTGAAGAAGACAGAAAAGCTCCAGTTACAGACAGACACAAAACACTGCACATGGGTTCTGCAAACACTGAGGAAGATTCTTGGCTTAAATCTAGTGCCACTGAGGTTACCAGCATGCTCAGAATCAATATTAGAAGTGCCTGCTTTGTCCAGACACACTTAAAATGAACGACATCACGTTTTGCGGTGTGTCTGAATTCTAAAAATAAAAAGATGAAACTGTACATAGCATAAACAAAAGGCCACTTCAAGTAGAACAAAGACATGGTTTATAAAGAAAGAAAGTTGCCTCAGGCGCTTCCTCCATAAAATCAACCCAATATGAGAGGATCTCTCTCTCTTTTTCTCTCTCACACAAACACACTCCCTCCTTCCATCCCCCCCCCACACTCCTTCCCCAGCATCCATGGAAAAAGTAAGAACAGAATGATCAAGATCAATGAAGAAGAGCAGCGTGCATTCTGTCTGTTGCGTGGAGTTCCACAGGGGTGGGTTCTAGGCCCTACTGCAAAAGTGCAGTGGTGAAAGTAGAGCAGCGCCCTGGTTCTCATGGACGAAGGGGTATTAAGTAGGATTGTCTGGGCTCTAGCATTTCGGCGCTCGAGCGATTGAAGATCTGTGGGTGCACTACTCCACAGCGATGTAATGAGATCCAATGCTGCTTTAATTTAGCCCTGCTCCCTGCTGCATTCAGACTGTTGTTTCACATTTTTGAACATATTTTATGCCTAACCATCTATCATATCACAGATTTGGATTTTTTTGGCCTTGTAAGATGATAAAATATACATGTGCAGAATCTTTGGCAGGGAATAGGCACAGGTTTTTTCTTTTCTTGAACAATGGGCACAGAGATTCTGTTACTGTTGCTACTGTTGAGTTTTATACATAAGCAAAATTCGGACTGTGGTTCGAATACACATACAAAGAAAATAAATAAAATCACACACATCACACGTCTTTTTTGAGAGAAAGTCACTTGTCATTATGAAATAAACAAAGACACTTTTTTTATACATCTATTTGTGTTTTTTAGGAATCATTTCTCATAAACATCTTTCACTATTCTGTTTAGTTTGACATTTGGCACATTAGTTATTAATTCAGGAAAGTCTGAATTTTGTTCATATGTAAAAGTGGTGACTGACTATACTTAGTTTTTATTAATATACAATATTGCTCTCCACTGAGTCAACCAACATAAATGCTATTTTAAAATAAACCCCTACAGTCAGTGATTAACAGAACGACGCGTAAAAAGAGTAACAAAATTTAGGGCAACAGAAATCAATCCCAAAGACCAGAAGCCAGTGCACATTAATGATCCTTCTTTAATTCGATGTTTGTCTCATTGACATTTCCGTCTACCATAGCGAGCTACCGGTTTTTGCTGGCATGCTCGATCTTGCTTGACTTCACCTGCTACAGAGCTCAAAGGCTTTTGGAGAGCAAGGTCAAACTCCTGCTCCCGCTAAGTGAGATTAAAACTAAATCCTGGATCGATGTGAGGAGAGAGAGAGAGAGAGAGAGAGAGAGAGAGAGAGAGAGGGAGAGAGAGAGAGAGAGGGAGGGAGGGAGAGAGAGAGAGAGAGAGAGAGAGCGCGCTTAATCTTGTTAAAAATTCAAGCATCCACAATGATCACTTGGGGATTACAAAAATAAAAATAAAATACATAAATAAAAATAATTGAATTATAATATCTGTGAAATGCAACGGCCTTGGGACAACTTCACTTTTAAACTTCTTTGAACAGGAATATTACGAGCAGAGCTACTGAACTGCACACACTTGACATCATGCCAAACATGAATGATTCCTTTAAGGAAACACTTAAGACCAGGTTCAAGGTCAAAGACAGAGTTTGACCACTTCAATAAAAAATCCAAAGATAAGGTCATGAATATATATATATATATATATATAATCTAGTGGTCTGCATTATTATTTTTTAAACTGATAGTCTTTAAAAGCCTATAATCTGTCAGATTATCTAACATTGCTTTTTATTGTTCGTAGTTCTCTGTCATGAGTATTTGTCAGGTTTTTCAGACATTTTTCTTTTTAGTAAAACACCATTTTAAGCAACTACGTAAAATTAGTTACAGGTTTCTACCTAATGCTAAAGCATTAGCCTCATAGCTCTCAAGGAAATGTTACATAAAAGGGTGTGTTAGCTTCTTTTTATTTAAAATTATACTTTTCTAAAAATTGTAATTAATAAAACAACAAACAACACCATATATTTATTAGCAAATAAACAGTAACTGAGCCCAATTGTGCAGAAGTGTGTTCTCTATAGTGAGAACTCTGAGACAACTCTTTCCTTTGTAGATGACTTATTTTCACATAGAATATGATGTTGTATGTCCGTGTTGTTTGGTTTTTTGATGCTTTGTCTTCACTTTTGTTTCTGTGTGGGTGAGAAATCTGGGGCATATTGGATAACTGCATTCATAATTGTGGTTAACAGACGTTTCTATGTATGCACAAATAACTATTCAATAAGAATATAATAAATATAATAAAAATGAACAATAACAATATTAAACAATTACAGTCGTGCCTCAGAACTGCGTGTGATGGTAAGGCCACAAGGCCTTGGATTTAACATGTATAGAATTTGAAATGTAATCAAAATTAAAATTTATATAAAAAATAATAATAATTATAATTTTATTCCACAGGCATGACGATCATATCTCACGGTCACCAAAATGATCCCATGCACTAAACTGTAGACCACTGGTTTAGAGTGTGGGCGTGTCAAAGTCAACACCGCACACATCCTCAATTCACTGTTTCCAACTGCAGTAAAGTTACATTGCCTTTTCAGTCAGACTCAGCAGTAAAAATACAGTCAGACGACGTCAAACTTACGTTCAGGGCATTCTTGGCCGCCTCAGCCTCTGATCTGCTGTCAAAGCTCACAAACCCCACCGGCTACAATAAAACAAGGAGAAACAGAGACAGAGAGAAAGAACACAGAGTTAGAAGGAAAAGTCCTTCACAGTCCGTCGACTCGTGCATATTCTGCCTTCATTGTGTGATGAAACAAAGACAGAAATGTGCAGGGAGGGAGGGGGCATTCAGAGTTCAATCACCAGCGCTGAAATTCAGGAATTCGGAAAAAGAGAGAGAGTGAGAGAGAGAGTGGGTGACGTTAGAAAGAAAAAGCAACACTGCTACTCCATTTCCACATTCTTATCATCGCCGTGTTGAAGACTCATACTCAGCGTTTTTACAGACAAGCAGATCGGATAAGAGAAAAGGGGTTACTGACTTAGCTAAGAGTGGGTGAAATGCTAAAAGTACAATAAATATCATGACACCTGAAGACACTATTCACGACACACGTTACTTGTTATGGCTGAATAATTTGGGGAAAATATATAATTGCAATTTTCCTGACCAATATTACAACTGCGATTTAAATATGAAATATTTTTTTCTATTAATTAGCTCCAGGCCTTTTTTCCCCAAGAAGATCCGCACATGCTTTTTTCTGGACTTAAAAAATGTCTGCTGAATGTAGTGTGTCACATTATTATGTTACACTTTCACGCTTACAACTTAAGACGAAGTTGAACAATGTAGGATAAAATTACAGGGCCAAGATTTCCAGTCTTTCTTTATCATGTACAAATAAACAGACTGTTTTTGTTCCAGGGCCTTTAAGGCTGATGTATGTACATGATCTCTGTCCTGACTGGGTGCCCTGAATTACACCTTACTCAAAAAGCAGTTTAAAACATTATTCATAACTTCAGAGCGAAAGGGCAGAGCTAACCTGATGTAGGCTGAATGGGGGGGGTATATATTTAAATGCGTGATATGCCTGACATCACAAAAACAATTAATTCAAAACTAGCTCTTTATGCAGCTTAAACTCTGTATATGACCTGTATGGACTGGGGAATGAACAGTGTGTTTTGAAACATTGTTTATATACAACAGTAAATTCTTTTGCTAAAGAAAAGTGATATGTATATATATATATATATATATATATATATATATATATATATATATATATATATATATATATATATATATATATAAATGACTAATCATTTAGCCCTAATGTGCATCACAGTATTTTGTAAAAATTAACTTCTTAAAAAATTTACAAATAAAATAAGAAAATGTCATAATGAGCTGCAATCCACTCAGATACATGTCACAATGCAGTTTATACAGTTACTGTATACTGGCTGTTGTTCTACTCATTCTCTCTCTCACAGACAAACACAATTTCCTTCCATGCTCACTCTTTCACTTTCTCAAAACAGTTAATGTTAAAATGTTAATAAATAGGCTGTGACCAAATTGGATCCCTACCCCCTTATTGGCATTGTGCTATATATTGTGCAAAATCTGGGAAATATTTAAATAGCAGCAAAATGTTTGAAGCACTTAATGAATTCAGACACTTTTGAACTGCAGAGACCTAAAACAGTTCCCATGCAGTGTTTCTGTTGCATGGTGAGCAGCTGGCAGTAGGCATGTTAGGGTCTTTGACTTTTACAGATTTTATTTCACCACAGAATTACGAGAGTCGAGAATCAACGGCCACTGTTAATGTTAGCTAACGTTCCTTCGCTCTCTGTAAAAAAGAGACTGGCAATTTACTTTCGTTCAGATGATGTAGTGATCTATGGTGTTCACTGCATTGTTGTCTCTATAATTCCATTTTGCAATTCAGACACTGAAAGGAAAATGGCCAACATACATATTCGTTCCCTAAAACACAAATTGGTGCATTTTGGTCATAGCCACAGTGTAATGCCCACCCTTCAGTAAAAGTAACTTTCCAAAAAATAATTCTGCTATTCTCATTTTGGATTGGTAAAATGCTACTTCCAAAAAGTTATTGAAAAAGAAATTAGGACCTAATTTTGACAACTAAAACCATAAAGTAGAAAAGTAGATTATTAATGTAATGTAAATTATTAAAGGATGGAAGTGAAAGTATTATCAATTGAAAATATGAAAAATAAGAAAGTACAAATCCATCAATTGGATTTGAGTAAACAGAACCAGCCAATACCCTCCTCTCGTTTATCTTAACAAATACTGAGCAATAGATAACACAGAAGTGTGTTAATAGCTAGGCATAACACATCATTTTTAGAGTGCATACATACATCTCCTCTCTCTCTTTCTCTTTCTTTCACCCTCACTCACTCAGAGCCTAGACAGTGAACACAGGGCAGTTATAAATAGCAGCTCTGAAACCTACTGCTATATATGGAGATGGCTTAGCCTCTCTGGAGAGGCCTGGAATCAATTGATTTACATTATTGTTGTCATCTCTCCTGCTCTGTGCCATAACAGTGCTGCCAACACGAGACAAAACACAACTGGTGCAGGCCAAGCAAACAGCCGGTCATAAACACACCCACCGTTCCCCTCTGACCGGCTCTCCACTGAAAAACTCTCACATTCCAGTGGGATCTTTTTTTCCCCACAGGAAGTGAGACCTGCTCCTACTTCCTGGTGTTCTTGGGTTGATAAGAGGCATTTCTGAAGCAAAAATAGATGCTGTCAGTCTATTAAAGATGAACTGGGAGTTAAGCACACAGCGCAAATGTATAAATAGCTCAGAAGATGATGGATTTTTTGTAGGATTCAAAATATATCAGTTTTAAACCCTTTAAAAAAAAATCAAGATTCAGATCAGTTTTATAACAGTTACTGAATATTAAGTCTTTTCTGATTAATTACTGAATTCTAAGCCTGCATTTTAAAGGACTGATTATAAGTATTAAGCTGAGGAGAAATCACAATACACTCTTCTGGGCATACTATGGATACTGTCAGACCTTAAAGAACACCAACCAACTGCATTTTTTTTTATTACAAACAAAGGGTCATCAGTCTAATTTAAGTGAATTTCTGCAATAACACGCTTCTGAAATCAACATTACATAATATATTTCATTGCTTAATAGTCTTAATATAAGTGCCGATCCTAACGACACAGTAATTCACCCAACAGTCAGAACTGAACAGAATATGAGCTACAGGATTAGGATACTTGATTTAATTTTATTTAAACAATCAATCAATTATAACGTACCTTCTCACTGAATCAACAATTACTAGTTGTCAGTTTGCAAAGTGATAATGCATATTTGTAACTCTCCCACTGCTGTATTTTATCGTTTTTCCAGTGAAGTATTTTGCATGCCTTAAACAGGACAAGAGCATCTAAATGACTGAAGGTCACTCAGAGATGACGTGCGAGGCATGCTCATTTCCCATAAGCCCCAGAGAGAGCATCACCGTGTCATGGAGACGTTCTTGTCAAAATATTTTGTGAAGAAGCTCTTGTTTGTTCCCAGCTTTGAATGTGTGTGTGTGGGTGTGTGACCACCTCCAAGTATACACACACATATATACACCAGGGTTATTAAGTTTCATTTTCATTTGTTTTTTATTTTTTTTTAGTTTTTTAATTAGTTTTTCAGATTTTAATGTTCTTTTGTTAGTTTTAAGAGTGCACTGTTTGAAATTAGCACGGGGTGCGGGAAGCATCAGCTGTGGTTGCTGTGTCGGTTACAGTAGCATCTTGTCAACGCTCTCCAAACAATTCAAAGGAAAAAGAAAAAAAAAACACACAGCATGAAGTCATGGGATTCGATACATACATGCTGCAGAAATAATTTCAGCTTCCCGCATCCCTGAAGTACACTATGCTCAGCTAGGTTTGACATAGTTAAAGATCTGCCTGCATCTCCAACAAAATTAATTTTTTTTTAATGTTTTGTTGTCCACAGCACCCATGGCCATGAGTCCCAAAGAGCACTGTCCTCTCTCTCTGGGTGGTCTCCCCCCCCCACCTCCACACCACGCAGTATGATGCTAGCCAAGGCAGGCATCTGCTAGCTGACTCAACAGAATTAGCAGTTAACATTCCCCTTCAAGCATGTTGAGCTGTCCAATGATGTGGCGTTAGCGACAGTTTAAAAAGATGCAGTGGAGCTTCAAGTATCTCAGATGCTAACATTCATCCTCTCAGGTTGGGAGCATCATGTGATAGAAGGGGGAACTAGCTAACAAGAGGCCATCACTGCAATACTGACCGTATCACCCATCTTCTCGCTCATGCCACACACATGCATACACAAACTAATTCGCTCTCTCTTTCTCATTGCTATGGCTATCACACAACACTCTCTCACTCATGCCTACAGTACTACATACTCAAACGCACACACACTCACAACCCATCCCTTGTTTCCATTGTTCCTGACGCAGCCTGTTAATTCTCACATCTGAAGTGTCTGTGGCATTGCTGTCTAAATGTGATCCTCTACAGCAGCTACACAAGTGAGAAAAAACAAGTACATCAGTGACAACAGAAAAGGAAACTTTCCATCTACAGAACGGCAGGACATGGTGCATTCTGTCAATCCATCAATTCCCAGTAGGGACTTATCAGTCAAAACAGAAACAGTCAAGCAGCTGCAGTACAAACACACAAAGCTGAGTTGAAATGCAATGGCAATGAAAACTGCTGTGTTAGTGTATTGCAAGACAGCTGCCACCAGCTGCACTAAAAAACAAAGCAGCAGTTAATTTTCTTTTGATTCAAATATACTTGTTTTTTCCACATTAAATAAACATATATTTTTCATGTTATAGAAGCTTTATAGGATGCTGATAAAAATTACATTCAACTTGATGAATTTCACTTGAAGTGAAGACTTTCTGTGTTGGGTTTTCAGCTTAAAACGTGATGCTACTCAGATGGACTGTGATGCTGTAGCAAGTTGAAATCAGGCAGTTTGGAAATAATAATGACCTTGCTACCGTGCTAATGCTAGCACAAGAAAAAAACTTGCGCTATTGTTACAGTGTGATCTTTAACACACATACAAAATAAATATTATTTAAATTAATAACACAATTTAAATTAATGTTTTTGAGTCAAAAAACACTATAATTTACACTATAAATTTGTTGAAAGGGTTTTTTGCCAACATTTTGTAGAGCTTGTCCAACTTCAACAGTTGCTATCAAAGAATTCATTTGTGGGCAGAGGACAAATCAGGTGAAATATAGTGCAAAGTAAGTAGTAAGTAAAGCGAAAGAAAAAGGTATGTTAATGTAATATATCACTGTTGTCAAAGAAAACCTCTTATCTCCAAAAATGGTAACTTTACAGGAGAAGGAAAGAACTTACTTTTAATGAAAGTCAATGGAACCAGACTTATTTCTAAGTCATTTTGGGCCATTTCTTTTGGTCCATTTGTCATTACATTTACATACAATATAAACGGCAACAGGCATTTTCAAATTATGTCAAAAACTGAAAAACGACAAAAATGGAGATATAAGGTTTTCTTCCGACAACAGCCATGTTTTGTTCATGTGGAAATAATACACATGCTTGAAGTAAATTCAATGCCACATTTTTTTAAAATGTGAAGACCCACCATTCACAAAAGAATCCAGCCTTAATCTTACACACCTGCACCTGCTAATCAAGGTCTTTTGAAGACAGTATTAGGTGTGTCAGCTTAGGACTGGTACTAAACTTTATAAAAAGGTACATCTTCAAGAGCAGACTTTTAAAATAAACAGTAAAATCCCCAGTGAAGCATTCACTCCTCAAGCGTTCATTTGTGTTCTGTTGGACTTATGGAGTTAAAGAACACTAGGGATTCTGCTGCATGTTTGGAGCATTTTTCTGTGAGGGTTTTTTGTCTCACCTGTTTTGAGGTAAGCTTTATCAATGAGCCTTCATAACCCTAAAACAAGAAAAAAAATCAAATATTACACTTTATTATTAGGACATCTATTTATTTTAAAGGTTTATTTCCATATATTTCTATATTTACAGACAACACTGAACCTACAAAACTATAAAAATGCACTACATCCCAGTCTTTTGAAATACAATGCAAATCTACATTTAGTGACATTCAGTATCAAAATAGTAACCAGGAAGTACTCATTTTGCTTCTTAAATTGGGGATTAAAGTAGTTGCACCATTCAGATATTATATTTCAAACGAGCGGCCTCCTCGGTTGCTCAGATACCCACTTACCTTCCCACTGACATTACAGAAATCAACAAACAATATATCAACAGACGTTTAGTCACTGGGTCTGGTCAAAGAACCAACTATTTCTGTAACATGAAATTGATGAATCCCAGCAATTCATAAACTTAATGTAGTGTAATTGGTGTGGAGAGTTAGCAATGTGTTGAAAAAGGCATGTAACTTACTTTAAACGGCCTGAACAAGAGATAGAGCTCACGTGGCTTTATGTCCAAGGGCAAGCCACTGACGAACAGAGTCCGGACCTGCAGATGGAAAAAAGAAATGGTTCTTTTAGAATGAGATGTCAGGGCAAAAAATAACTCGGCAGCCACTGAGCATATGAGTATCAGTGATATGCAACCCAACAACAACAAAAAAGATACGTTCCATTCAAAACCTTCAACGGGCTTATAGAGCACATCTATACAACTGTTAGTTTCCTAAATGTGTCCCAGAATGAACACATGGTTCTAGGAAAAAAAAATTATTGGTATAAAATCTTGACATTATGTGGTGGGTCTTTAAACTTTAACATTTTCACATTCACATATCCTTTACAAAAACGGTTCTCAACCCATTGAAACCAAGAGTGGTTCTGTATGGCATTGCTCCAAAGAACCCTTTCTAACCTTTAAAAGCGTGTGCATAATTTTCTATCATGAGCTTAGCTAGGAATCTATAAACACAAATGCAGTCATCTGTTGAATAAACAGTAGATGATCTTCTATACTCTGATGTTCTTCCAGGCTTTGTTTAAATAAAATAAAATAAAAAGCTTTGTAATAAAAACAACAAGAATTCATTTTTGTATTATTTTGGTATTATTCATACAGCCTTACACACTACACTCTCTCCATGTGTGTGGCCATGTGACACCTGTGTGAAATCAGTCACCTAAAATTCCACCAAAACAAACACAGGTAACTTAGCAACAGCGGGCTCTGATAGGCCAGTTTTCAGCTTGTAGCACCTCATCTCCTATCTTATCTTTTGTGAGTTTGAGCCAGAGGAATCTAACAGTCGCATGAGGGGTCTTAGCACTTGGCTGCATGGCTGTGAACTCACAGCTCTGGGGTGCTGGAGAGGTGTTGTGTCCATGAGCACAAAGACAAAAGCGACAGGAGGACTAAATCATTTATTACGGGGGGAAAAGAAAGAAAGAAAGAAAGAAAGAAAGAAAGAAAGAAAGAAACAGAATGTTTTATCGCATAATGCAATTTAAATACAGTAATAGGTGAAAGTTAATATAGAAAATAAGTTATATATACAAGAAATATACAGCAATCCTTTACCTACATTTGCTCCTCTCATGAGGTAACTCAGGGGTTAATATTCAATTCATTACAAATGAAGGGGGCTGGATTTCTATGCTTAGAGGTCACAACGGACTAAAGTAAATCATTACGTTACATTCAGTAAAGGTGGCTTAAAAAAACTGAAGAAATGTTGTACTATATATGAAAGACACACAAAAATTTGCACCGACTAGTTTATGACATACCTCAGGGGTTAATGTTTGGCTCACTGAACATTAAGGAAGTTGGATTTTTGAGCTTGAGAAACCATTAAGATGTCACAACAAACTGATTTAAACATTACAAGAGAAACATTGAGACACTTCAGTGTTAGGAACCCCATGACAGTTCCAGTAATAAACCAATACAGAAATAGTGTGCCAATGTCGATACTCCCTGTTTTCAATCTACATATCTGTCATTACTGATACCGATACATAAACATTAAAAATATGAGTTAATCAGAACAAGATTTACCTGGAGCACTGGACAGAAATATGAAATGTATTCATGTAGGGTTACAAATGCAGTAAAATTACATTTAGCACAGACATTCAGCATCACCTAAATGTTCTTCTCATCCAGAACACTCATAAAATATTGTCCAATACTGCTATTTTTTACAAGCAAATATCTCCCAATACTGATACGCTTCCAATACCAAAGTGCATCCCTAAAGCACACAATTCACTTGGATTTGATTTGTATAATGCTGTTCACAAGACAGAGACAGACAAAATAACAGAGACAGAGGCTGCCCTTACATTTTGAAATATTTTTGTGCCATCATGACATACAGCTTTTACACAGTGACAGTTAGAGCTGGGCGATATGGCCAAAAATGTTATCACGATAAAAAAAATTCATATCGTCCGATATCGATACATACCGCGATAAATGTCAAATCATTATTTCTTTCAAGTTTGAAGGCTGATTTTTGGTCCTGGGGGTTAACTGCTGTTTTAAACTATCCTTTATGGTCGGAACACGACAAACACTCACCAAACAGTGGAACATTTCACAAATCTGTCATGGGAGAGTGGGAGAAAGTGTCTGGTGAGCTGTTTCTACCAGCTGGAAAAGCATGGCTATTTTGTAATAGTCATAATTTAAGAAAGAAAACAGATTATTTTTAGCTGGTGCCGAGCGCTCGGCTAACTACCCCGCTACAAATGACATCACAGTATTCAAACACCAGCCAGCGACGACTGGATTTCTCTATACTATCGTAGTAGTTTAAGGGGTGAACCGCAAAATATCAACACCAGACAAACGGAGTCCTCTTTTCAGGTACGTTTAAACTGAAAGCGGTGCTTTTGTGTCTTGTTTGATCTACAGTATCAACAATTCTCCATGCTGTGTGAGTGACAGCGCGCTGCTTCAAGTTAGCCAGCTGCTAAAAACAGCTAGCCTGGAAAGCTAGCGCTCTCCCGCTCTCCAATGCCTCACAGCTTCCTCAGTTTACTTTCGTTTAAATCAGGGCTGTAATTTACATGAACCCACTTTTTTCTTTCACTTTCGTTGCTTGGGAATGCTCTAACACTCAAATATGACTGTCCGAGCGCTGTAGTTAACAGTGCTGTAGTTGTGAGGATTGTGATTTAACGCTGCTAAAGCTGGTTAGGATGCACGGAAAGAGGTGAGTTCGCTGTTGGACAGTACAGTTACACCACTGACCTCGTCACCCACTCTCGGTCACAGGAGAACAGATCGCCGGTCGCTCCACTCAAACAGGGAATGTATAACTCCGCGTTTCAGCCGTTGCTAAAGACTCATCTTACTCGTGGCCCCCTCCCTCTCTAATCATGTAGAAAAACTCGGAAGTGCTCCCTCTACTGGCGACAGCACAGTAATGTCGCTTTCCTTGTAGTAGAAAACCAGGGCTTTTGCTGAACGTGGAGGTGTGAGGATGGTGTATTATATTGAACATTTATCGAACATGTCGTATCGCTCTATCGAGGAAAAGTTATTTCGCGACAATTATCGTTATCGTTTTATCGCCCAGCCCTAGTGACAGTAGATAAAAATCTGTGTTTGTAGCTTCAGCGAACCCCAGTGAACTTTCTGATACACCTTTCTGAAAGCCTATAAGCTGAAAAACAGTGTTGCCTTTAACATGAATAAAATATATTACACAAACTTAATTTTGTCTTTCAGTTTGCTTACATTTTGGCAAGATCTATGTTCAAATAATATATTTTATTCATGTGGAAATTATACACACATTTGAATCAAGTAAATTCAATGCATCTCTTTTCAGTGGCAGTATTGTAGTCCACATGGGGTGGGCATTATTGCTACGATACACAATATGCAACATGATATTTCATTTTTCTGAGATTTGATTAGTCAGAACAGACAAAATAGTCTTTTGTAGTGGCACATAATAATCAACTGTTATGTCTATTGCTAAGTAACCAATAATGTGCGCACAGCTGAACCGCAAACACTTCATAAAAATAATGTTAAGATGTAAGTTAGTTAGCTGGACAGTTACCACTGTAAAAGAAATGTCAAAACAAAACTAAAATGTAATGAACTCCTATTTCACAGGGCATCACTGCCTTCCAGTTTCAGTGTCCATTTACTAAGGCTTTAGCTAGCGCGTTAGCCGCGTTTATGTTACTACTGCCTCTGCCTCCTCATTATTCACCACCAATGTAATTCATGCATTTGTTCATGCTGTTCATGCGACATAGTTACAGTAAATTTGTTATTGTAAGGTTAGTGTCCTAAAAACACTAACATTATCTTTCAGTAGAGCAGCTAACAGTAGAAATAGAAGCTTAAAACAGAAGTTAAGGACACCACTGGGATTATACTAAAGTTCTAACAGTATTTAGGAAGTTTTGTCTGGTTAGGATGTTTCTGTAATACTCTTTTCTTACGTGGAGTTATGATAAGATTATAAACTTACGATAAACTTAGTTATGCTTTAATAGCTACTGTCCTAAATTAGACCCTAAACGAAGTTGCCAAGGTAAGTAAACAGATAAGATAAGATTTAGAGTTAGGACGTTTCTGTAATACGGACCCTGACTCTTAATCTTTTCAAAGTTAGCGATTACGTCTTTTGTTACTGAGTTCCTGACTGACAGTGTTTGTAATTAATGGGTGCCGGACAAAGAACTAACCTAATGCTGGCTGCAGTTGGATGAACACACACACACACACACAATGAGACACACTCACCTGACTAACACACTCCTAAAGCTCAGCTGAGTGGTGAGGCTGAGTCTCATGTCTCATTTTGTTCTCTCTCTCTCTTTATGACTCATGACCATAAAAGGGGCTTTTTGTTGCTGAGGTCATGCATGCTCTCTCTCCCAGCGTGAACCATGAGTAAAGACAAAAAGGGATAATGAGAGAAGGAAGGGATTAAAATATCTGTACATTGAACCTCGGAAGAATGAAATGAAGTCATAAACCAAACTCTACACCAATTAAGCACTGAACAGAAACACTCGGCTGGCTGAATAATTGACCAAGAACTTCAAAAAACACCCAAAACAGTAGGTCATTACTGAACAAAGAGTATACTACATTTTTTTTGTAAACCACAGGATTAAAGACTTAAAAATTATTTGAAAACAGAAACAAAACCTTATGCCACTGACATTTTTTTTAAAAATCAACAAATTTAGTCCAAACTTTTGTTCCCTCAATAATGAGCAGAAATTAAACAGGGTATTGGGAGAATATTAAGGAAGTGCATAAGTACTTTGCACTTGCTATGCACAATATAAGAAACAGTTATTTTTAACAGTTAAGTTATTTTGTCCCATTACCCATTTCAATGCATTATGTCACAGTGTAACAGTGATATCATTAAAGTACATATACTATGTAAACAGCTTGTAACAAATCTATGTAGTAACTTCATTTTATTTGTATCCATTTGTTAAGTTTGATTTAGTTCATTTGTTCATAAAAGTTGTGAAGCATTAAGTCTTTACACTTATTAAAGA